TTATAAATTTACAGTAAAAACTTATTTTGTATATAAAAGAATGTACATAGAATTTATATAGGATCTTATAAATATGTAGATATTTTGTAATAGTATAAGTTCAAAAAAAAAAATTTGTGTAAATGTAATTAAAATTTATGATCGTATTTGGAAAAAAATTTTTACTTTAACTCGTTCGAATTTATTTGTTTTGTATTAAAAAATATTCTATGTCTATATAAAGAAATTAACTAGCATTTTTTCAGTAATTCTTTAAAATTCTACAGAAATAAATCTTTTTAAGTAAGTATATGTTATCGGAAACAATATTTCTTTATATTCTGTACAATCCAAAGGTAAGGTACTGCGCCCAATTCAAAGATAATTTAATTATGATTTCGAATCAGGTCTCGTTAATATTTTTTTAAATGGCAACTTGAATCAGTTCCAAATGTTTGCTTGTAAATTTTATTTTACTGTCACAAAATTTTTTGTCTCTCTTAACCGAGTTTTTAAAGATCTCTCTCGAGACGAAAATATTCTTTTCTACATTGATCTCTTTTTCCCACAAATTTAAAGCTCAATTAAATTTGTCTATAGTAGGAAATATGTTACAGTAATAGTCCCTTCAATAAAAGAGATATGTACCTTCTCTTATGAACTATTTAAATTATTAATATTCAATCTTAATTCTAATGTTGAATTTTTTGAAAAATCAGTATAGTTTAAGATTTATCCTAAATTTATGCAAAATTTTTATTATTGATTATTTTTATTATTGAAAATATTGGAATATTTTAGAAAATTAAGTGTCTGCTTTTAAATTTATAATCTATATATTTGTAATAAATTGTTGTGAAGTTTTATTTTGGAACTTTTCGAAATTATTCCAAATTTTCAAAAGTGTGTTTTTTTCCAAATATGTCGTCGATTTGTGGGTATAAATAAAAATCTAGACTTTAAATTTTTAAAGAAAATGTGCCATTTTAAAACATTCTTGATTTTGAAAACCTTGTTTTGTTGACTTAATTGAATAGAATTTTTTGATATGGACAATAAATCCATTCTTGTATGAAAGTTTTACGTGCAGCACCGCACGAATACAAATGCATGCATATTTTATCGTATATTACCCATTTCTATTCTTCAATAATAATATATAAATGTTATACACATATATATAGTTCTAATTATAATATCACAAAATTTCTTTTCTAAGAGAAAGCGCGTGTAGTTTTAATTAATTAATTTTAAAATGTATAACATTATAATTAAATATCGTTTATTTAATTTCTAGCTGTGTACCTTACACGGATTAACAACTTTCACAAATTTTTTCAAATTTTAATTTAATATAGAAACGATTCATTCAAATTAGTTCATTTCATAAATAAGTCTATATTATTATTCTTATAAAAATATTTTTAACATTTTTTAAAAATTTTATTATTATTATTATTTTCTCATCATCATCGTATATATTTATTTAAAAATTGAAATCTGAATTAAAAAGGATGAATAAATTTATAAAAAAAATAAATTTGTTATTAGCTTTTGTTTCCTTCAATATTATTTTATTAAAGCATCATATTCAATGTTTATTAATATTTCCACAATTTTCTGTATTTCAAGTAAGTATAATAAAAAATTATATTTTATAATTTTATAATATTTATATACATATACATGTATAATAGTATATAAATATAAGTAACTGTAAGATTATATCTATGGTTTTTAAGATTAAATTTGATTGAGTCAAAAAAATTTGTTTTAAAAATAAATTGAGCTCAAAGTTAATAAACGATTCAAAAAATAATTTAATTAAAAAAAATTATCTTAAAATTCTTGTTCATTACCTCGACACCAAGTGACCCATAATAATTCAATTTTGACAGAATATATAAATTATTTTCAATTTGTAATAAAATAAAGAGCTCAAATTTTAATTCAAGATAGTTTTCCTTTCAACTTCTTATATATGTATATAAAAATAATTACTATATTTCTCTTTTAAAAATTTTATAATATATACGAATAAAATAAAATATAATATTAGGTAGCTTTTTTCGTTTCAGCTCCAATAGAAGTTAAACAGAAAATATTCATTAATTGGGGATTTCAAATGAGTTATAATCTTCCATTTAATGTTATGTCATTAACAAATATACCAAGTTTTCCATTTGAAAGACGTTCTTTATTAATTGATAATAGTTATTTGTTACCAAAAGCATTTAATAATTCTGAAATTAAAAATTTTAATGAGATTCCCGAACATAATATAGATAATCATTTTAATAATGAAGAAAAATTAATAGAACGATCAAATTCAACAGAAGAATCTACAATAAATTCAACAATTCCAACTTTATTGTCATCGTCATTTAATAGTAAAAATATTAGTTGCAATAATAATAATAACCTAATCGATATAAATAAAAATATTCATAATAAACTTAAATATTATGATGATAGTAGTTATTCTGATGAAAATAATAATGAAAATATTACTGAAAGTAATAAAAATAGAAAAAAAAGGAATAATATGATTTATTCAGGTGATTTTACAGCTGGAAAATTTTATTCATATTTTGAGGATTTATTATTACAATATGGTTATCATGATAGTTGTTTATTAAAAAGTATTTGTGAAATATCTCGTTATCCATTGGTCAATAGTTTACATGATATTAATGTTAGTAATACTGCAGATGATTTTAAGAAAAATGATGATTATCATAAAAATAATTTAAATGAGAATATTTTAAGTGAAATTGTGCATTTTGTATTAAGGTAAGACATATAGTTTCTTTATAATATCGTATTTCATTGGAATTATTGAATTTCATTGGAACGTAATAAGGATTAAGTGGAATATTAAAAATTCTTAAAGTGTAAATAACAAAAATTTTTTTTGGTTATTGTTGAACCATATTGGTGGTGTATATCGGTATATGGTGATTTTTCCCTATATTTAAGAAAAAAAAAATGTATCCGATTTCAATTTAAATGTAAGTGAAAATATGTGTGAAAATTGGATTCAGATTCTAAATCGATCTTCAAAGAAAAGCAGTGTTTCTATGAAAAATTTTTGGCGTTAAATTATGCCTTTAACCCTTTCCATTCCAATGTCGAGTGTCAATCGACACTGATTTTATTCCACTATCCACTGTGGAGTGATAATCGACATGGTATAATACCTGTCAAATGTAAAAATTTAATCGATACTACATAATAAAATTAGTTGTTGTCGCACCGTTATATGTTCGCGTCGTAAACAACTTATCTCTGTGTTTCATCTGTTAGCGTGGAGCTGGTGGAATAAAAACAAAAACAGCCTCGGAGTGGAAAGGGTTAAGCTTTTTTGCCCATATACAAATTCTCATTCAATTTCAAAATACAAAATATTAAATTAAATAAAATCTTATACTTCCTATATAAATTTTTTATTTATAAAATAATTTAATAATAATTTGAAATTAGATCAATAATAAAATAATTTTTTTTTTCGAAATATTTTCATAGTTAATAAAAACAAGTATAAATTTAAAATTAAACTATGATTAAATAAATATTTTAACAAGAAAATATACATACGATTCAAATTAAATGGAAAAATTATGATAAAAGCTATTTAAACATGATTTTTAAATTATAATATACACACATACATATATACAATTAGGTACCTAAATATGTACTTACAAATATTTTTTAACAATAATGTATTAAATTCCATTCTGCATTGAAAAATTTTTTTTTTTCATGGATTTTCAATTTTATTTGTATATGTGTGTTAAAACTTATACGTAAAAGATGTAGTGTGTGTATAAGAAATTTCTGGATGTAAATATTTTCTAACTTACTGAACTGATTTTTGTTAATTAACACCTTAAAAAAAAACCTTATGAATAAATGTACAAACAAAAATGAATGCTTATTTTTTATTTTTTTTTGTGAAAAAAAAAGTGTATAACACTTTTGAGAGTTGGTGTAAATTAATTTGATAGATTTTCTTAAAATACTATAATTGTAAACAAATGAACTATATTGTTAGTGTACTAGTTTCTGACATTATTATACAATTAAATAAATTTTATTGCAATTAAATTGATCATTGGCTTAAATAGAGCAGAATCAATGAAATTATAATATTACAAATGAAATTATTTCACATTGTAATATAATTATAATTTACTAGACATCTGAATCTGAATGGGTTTGAAATAAATCAGAATATTAGAAAATGTGATTTAATAAATCATTCAGACTTACCGAGACTTATCGTTTTCATAATTTTTGTTAAAGAATCGGTAATAATGGATAGTTTTTCAAGACCACTCCTTCGTTACATAACCATAATATTTAATATAAGCATGATGGCGATTTTAAGTTTCGGATCTATTTATTTCAGCTGAGAATATTAGTTGCCATTTAAAATGGCAAATAAAAGATTTAATTAAACTACTACATTATAGCTTTCGTTACTTTTCAATAATAATTTTCTTGACGAATAAAAACTTGATTCCATTTTTCTATATATGAATTGCTATTTTGAACTTTGTTCACATACTCTTAAAATTTTCAAATTTTCTTAATAATATTTCGTCTCTAGTTATTAAGAGAATCTAAAAATAAAATTAAAAAGAAAAAGAGAAAATCTATTAGGAATCTATGTCATCGATTTAAAATTAAAATTCATAACTAACAGTCATCGTAATACTCTTAATAAGTAGTTAACAGTTTTAAGATTTTAGTTTCTTTATAATTTATTCTTGTGCATAAATAACTTTAAACAAATTTATACATATACAAACATACATATATTTTACTAATATATATTATTTAAATTACAATAATAATTATAAATTTAAATAATTTCTATAATAAATTATATACAGGTATATACTAGTATAATTGAATTATTTTTTAAGTATTGCGTAAAATTACTGAATGTTTTTCAGTATTTTAAAGTTTCAAAAAAAAAACAAAAATTAAATTAAAATTATTGAAATGATTTTAAAGAAATTTATTTCGTCATGGTGGGCATATCTAGAAAAAAATTATTTTTTATTACAATATTTTTTATTTTACCCAACATAATTGATTGCCTTTTATGGCCGAGACACTCAGTATTGCAGGTGAGAAAGTAGAAAATAATATTATAATTATTAAAAAATCAAAATAATTTCAATATTATATATTCGGTTGATATTTTATATAATTAATTATAAAAATATTTTAATTTAATTATTATAAATATATTATAATAATAATTAAAATATGATATATAGGTAACAGCAGCTGGTTCAATACCATTAGTATTAACACATAAAAGAAAATCATTTTTTGATTATGGTGTTCAAATGAATTACAATATGCCATATAGTTTAAAAGAATTCTATAATGTACCAATATGGCCAAGAGTACGACGTAAAAGGAGAACAATTTTATATAATGATAATATTAAGAATAATTCTATTTTACTTAATAATGGCTATGAATATAATGATAATAATAATAATCATTTAAATTTTAATAATATTAAATTATTTGAAACATTATCGCCTTCATTATCAGATATTATCGAATCATATTATAATAATTCATCATATAATAATGATACTGATACAATATTAAATAATTTATTAAATTATAATCAATATAATAATAATTATAATAATAATAATCAAAGTAATTTAATTAAAGAAGAGATTAAATTGAAGAAATCAAAAATAGAAAATGATGATGATTCAATTTCGAATTTTAATAAAATACATCCAAGTGATTTTACAGCTGGTGAATTTTATGGTATTATAGAAGAATATTTAAAAGATTTTGGTTTCGATGAAACATGTTTATTAAAAACAATTTGTGAACATTCTAAACATCCATTTAAAAATAATATTAATAATAATGATATTGAAAATGAAAATATTATTGAAGAAATTATAAGTTTAATATTAAGGTAATTAATAATTAATTAAGAAAATATTTAATTTTAAAATTATAACTGTTTTAAGAATTTAAAAATAGTATGAATCTTTTAAGTTTGTATTAAATTGCCGAACTTAAAATTTTTATTTTAATAATTTAAATTCGGTGATTTGTACAGATTTATAGATTCTTTAACATCATAAATTAAAATCAAATGTAAAAAAAGATAGAAAAATAATTTAGTTTTTTTCGTTATTGAATTTTAAGTCAAAAATCCGATAATAAGTGTATAATAAAATTTTTTTCCAAAATTAGAAAAATAACAGAAATTGGTGTATAAATGCTTAGTCATTTTTAATTTTAAATTATTTTTTTTTTGCTATATTATTAAATATTTTAAAATTATCACAATTATTTATTTAATATTTGAATATAAAAGCTTTTTTATTAACATTATTATTTATTTTTTTATTATTATTATTAGAAAATAGTGTGTGTGTAACAATATTTTTGTGTATGTGTAAAATTATTTACTATATGCTGGTTATAAAAGGTGTAAATTATATTTTCCTACAAACTGTGTGTATGACTAAATTATAAATTTAAAGAAAAAACATTTGCCAATGAAATTTATTAATCCGAATTTTTAATAGTATATAGCTTAGATGTATGTTAACCTTCAAATAATGATTTAATATCAATTTAAAATTTAGTTTCAATAAATATGAATTAGTCGAATGAAATTTGAATGCAATTTTAATTTCTTATTTTGGACACGAACCAATATTTTCAAATTTCACGTTTAGTTCTCAATTCAAAATACATAATTATTATGTCTGTATTTTTGTGAGTATTAGCAATATAGTAGAAGAAACAAAGAAAATTACATAAATGTTGTGCTCTATGTTGTTATTTTACGAGAATATATTATATTTTAATAATTTTAACATAATTATTAAATAGTCCATTATATTTTTGTACTTTTATAGTAAAATTATAGGAAGATTTCTCATTTTTTTAGTAATATTTTCTTAATAATTATAATTTAACATAAATTATAATTTAGGTACTTATTTTTTGAATTTATTAACCTTCTCCAACAATTATATTAAATTTTAAAATAATATTATTTATAGTATAATATGAAAAATAAATAGACATAAATAGACAGGCAGGGATTTCACATATTTAAGGGTACAGGGTAATTTTATAATGTGTACTCGTAATAATATTGGCTTCCAGCATAATCTTGTTTATTGTTGCGTATATTTTATTGGAAGTAATATTAAAATCATTATTATTTAATTAATTCTTATTAGTTTTAAGAGAATTGTAAGAGAAAATAATAATTATGTAAACTAATGTTATTGAATAATTTACCTATAAAGCTAGAAAAGTTCTCAGACAATAATTTTATTATGATCACTATTTTTACTAAACCGTATTGCATATAATAAGGGAGGTTATGTGATGGCATAAAATTTCAGATGTCGAGTTATCGGTAGGAGTACACCATAGTACAAAATCGTAAATAAACTATTGTTGGTATTTGAGTTCTGGTTGTTGCTGAAGCCAACTGGTGAACAATTCAGAGAATTCGGATGGCCCAGATTAAAGCTTAACTCAGAGCGAAATTTACATTTTCCTAGATATGTTGATTAAAAGCTTACCAAGTTTCGTATAATTGGAAAGAAGTGTTTAAAGGTATTTCAAAATACACACTGCTAAATTAGTGGTCGGTTTTGTGCTGATCTCATTCAATTTATTTTTAAGCATTTAAAGAAAATATAGCTAAGTGTTGCAGTTCAAATGTATTCGCATGTAATTAATGTTTCATAAAAGAGTGCTACACATGGGTTGCTAAAAAAATACATTATGTTGGCAGTGCTTTTACCAAATACTTCTATAGCAAAATGTCTTAAAACTTTCCTATTTAATTTTAAAAATTTTATTATAAAATTTTATCTAATATCGAATTAAATATTGGTTCCATATACAATGTTTAATTTAAACAGAATAGAACTATTTAAAAAATTAAAATTAACATTGTGGATTTCAAATTGTTGTTTTTTTTTTTAATTATATAATTTATTTGTATCTAGATGTGTAATCATATTTATTACTATGCTAAAATCTAATACTGATTTTGTAAATATTTTTGAAAATTTTTATTGTAATGTATTATAATGACTATCTATTCGACTTTAATTAAATAATAAATCGTATTTTATTTAAAATAAATTTATATTTTTAAATTTATTTTGTTTTCAGTCCTTCAGTTCATAATGGTTTTGCGGAAGATGAAAGCGATTATAAATATATTTATGAGGAAGCTGAAAAAAATGGTCTGAACGGAAATAATTGTGATAAATTATATCCGGATTGTGAAAAAACTATTTTAGATTTAATATCAACGGTTAAATTTATGGAATAAAAGTAATGAAAATAAAAAAAAAAATTCGTTTTGAAAATAAAAATTTATTTTTTCTTTTTATAATCCAATTTACATAAGTTTTTCGATTTTATTTAATTTATAGGTGCAAATGAATTTATTTTTGAATCAAGTCAAACAAAAGCACATTGGAGACTTTTAACATTTACAAATTAACTGGATTTTTAATAAATTTCTAAGTCTAGGCTAAAAGACATACTATACAAGAATCTGAATATTATTAATTTCGGTTGGGATATTCTGGTTTTAATTATATATAAGCTTTTTATGTTTAAATTAAATTCTTTAAAAAACTAAGATTATTAAAAATTACAAAATATAGGAGAATGGAAATTAAATTAATTAAAATAATTATATTCAGCTGATTTTAATATAATTATTACTATATAATTTACTCATCAACTTATAGAAGAGGAAACAATGTTAAAACGATTTTTATGAAAAGGTGACATGAAATATTAAACTGTTAAATATTATTATAAAATTAATTGTTTTAAAGAATTGTGTACATAAATTTTTTACATATATGCATCACAATTTCACATACTATATAATATCCTACAAGAATATATTTTTATTTATTTTCAATATTTGTGAATAATATTACTATACATTTTTTGGTTACATATTTCCAATTAAATACGTATATATAATATCTGCAGTACAAGAGATGTTCAAATACCCCGGTGTATTATAAATTTATAATTTCGTTTGTTCCCCTTTTACGTGAAGCGATTGTGAGAAGTAGAAGAAATTTTATTAAAAATTTATAATTATGACCATAGTGATTTTCGGATATATTCGAATATGCACTATTTTTATGTATATTCTAAATGATTTACTAGATCTATTGAGAAATTTTACGGTAATTTGCATTTTGAACTAGAAAAAACTAGGAGCAATACAAAATTGGTTAAATACGGCGAGATATAAGGCAGCTCCCTATGACCATTATTCTTTATTTAAATCGTTAACTAAATAGTCAATTTGAATAATTGAATATAAATGAACAAACATATATGTATGCGGATGAGTTAGAGATAATTTATAGCGACATAAATTATATTAATATAGAAAATAAGATTAATGTAGAATATGTGAAAATATTGAAGAAGATTGACTAATTGACTATTAATGTTTCGAAAATTAATAGATATTTAATTAAGAACACAAGATAAAGAAAAACTACATATAAAATTCAATAATATTAGAATTAGCCGTGTAATTCATTAGCACCATTACAATTATTTGGGACTTTTAATTGACAAAGATTTAAATTGGAATCATCATGTAAATGGAGTTGCATCAGTTGAATTATCATGTAAAAGTGTAGAGTATAATAGGGATATTCAGAAGGTTATATGAAATCTAGAATAAGATAAAAAGATTTATTTATTTTAGGTTGATTCAGTTGAATATATTATTTCGGATCTGGGGAGTAAGTTTACTACAAGACATGAGAAATCTTCAAACTTTGCAAAAGAAGGCAATAAAAAATTTATACAATTTAGAACAAAGGACGAACTTTACTTACCTCTACAGAGAATATAACAGAAACACAATTCAATGTCAGCTTAAAATAGTGTAATCAGTTCATACTTCGAAATGGTTTGCTAATTTCGAACACAAATTTTTAACAAGTAACCGTATACAAAATGTGGTGAAGCGTTTCGTTCTAAAATTTTTAAGTTTATTCATTTCGGGAACGTGGTAAAAACCATTTAAATTTACGTACTATGATTAAAAAAATAATGTCTACAAAATCATCTAGAAATTTATTATACCGCGAAGCATCGCGTTTGTATTCTGATATCCTAAAGTTGAATAAATGAGGAAGAAAATTCAGATACATTTCATTTTTATTTTGATTTTATATTAAATAAAATGTCAAAGTAAAAAAATTAATAATTTAAATAAATTATATTTAATCTTTTATATTTTTGTTTTTATTTTTTTTTTTGTTTTTAGCATATAATAAATCGAATTGTTTTTTATTTATTTTAAAAATTAAAAATTATAATAAGAATTTCATGTCTGCCTGTTCTGAAATCATTCGTAAGTAATTATTTTAATTCTAAAATGTACAAAAATAATATATTTCACTCAGATATTATGGAAAATATAAGAAATATGCGAAAATTATAAGTATACAATGATTACCTTAGCCTTTTAAAATAAAAATCAATTAAAATTAAATTTACAAGAGAACCAACCTCAAAAATAAAATCATGTGTGCAACTTAAACATTAAATAAGTACCTATGAATAAAGGTCAAGCGACATTTTATTTTATTAATTTATTATCACTGAATAATTTATACAATATTATTTGCATCTTAATAGCTTGCTCTCGTAGAAAACATACAATGCAATGTTTACTTTACCTATTGAGGCATGAAGTGTGTACGAAACATGCAGAAAATAATTGCATTAAAATGCAAAATTTACACTGTTATACAAATAAAACAAAAAAGTTCTATTGCTTATTTTTAACTCGAAATTTAATTCGCACACTGTACCGAAGCATTACAAGTGCCATTGCAATTTTATGAAACACAAAAGTGTTCAAATCTTTTTTAAATATGATAAACGGTTTATTTAATTTAAATAAAAGCATTAAAAATTAAAAACAAATAAAAGAGCACAGAAATAATATTAATTATTAAAAAGAAATATAAAAAAAAGTAAACAATTTTTTTTATATTTGCCTTTTTATAAAAAAAATTAAAACACAATATCCAAAAAAATACAAGTTGAATTTAACATATAAATAAATGTATATAAATAAAATAATATTAATAAATAATATTAAAAACATTAAAAATAAAAATAAAATATATTTAAAATAAAAACTGAAACAAGAAATTATGCGTTACACCATAAAAGTTTGTGTTCTTATAATAATCACAATTAAATGTGCAATTATTATATTGACGTCAAAAGTGGCCTTGCCATTAAAATTTTCAACATTAACATTATCAACATCATCATCATCATTATTATTGCAACCATCGTTGCAACCATTATTATCATCAATATCATTACCAACAACATTCTCATCAAAATTAATATATTCAACATTATTACCATTATGTTACAATTTGAATGTTTGTCACGTTATTTTTAACAATTATTACTGTTATTATTATTACAATAATAACAATAATAGTGGTATACCAATAAAAAATGAATTTAATAATTCAATAGCAGTAGTAGTACCAGTAGTAATAGTATATCAACTTAATAATCTGAAAAATTATTATAAATATTCAAATAGAAATTTTATTGTATTATATTATCCTTTATATAATAATAATAATATTTTAAAAAAAACCCTCGAGATTTTCCAATTGTTGACAATAAATAATAATAAATTTAACAATGAAATAAATAAAGAACATCAATTTATATTACAAAAATATCAAAAGGAAAAAATTAAAAAGAAAAGAAAATTACGTAAAAAAAGATTTTTAATTTTTAATACAGCCGGTACTATTAAGGTATGTATATGAAAATTTTATTTAAAAAAAAAAAAATAAAATTTTGCAAAATTATTGTTCTATATAGAAGTATACGTATGTATATAATATAAAATGTAAAGTACATATATAATTGACATTCTATGAAACAAAACAAAAAATATTTTAAATTTAGAAATTTGGAATTTTAAATATTATTGAATCTATGAGGCACATATGTACTATTATTTTACTGTTATTGGTTATGCCACAATACTATTATGAATCAATAACATATAATTATATAATATGTGTATACATACATATAATGTTTTGTGGCTAATGAAAGACACAATTAGAAAATATTTTACAATTATTTTAATTATAAGATTATGGTAAATAATAAAAAAATAATTGTAAAATAGCTTTTTTATAAATTTTTAAGAAATATAATACATAATATTATTATTGTTACAAATATGTATGTATGTATGTATGAATTTGTAATAATTATCACAGATGAAAATATTTAAATAACGCAATTTGTTTTTTTTTTTTTGAACGGTCAATCGAGTCTCTATTCTGTATAACAATATATTTAAAATAATAAATTCATTTCCGACATGACTTTAGTTTCGAAGTCTTCTTCGGTAATTTCGTTTTATTTTTTAACTTTGAATTCTAACCGTTGACAAGCCTGATAAGTTCCACTCCTCGACTCCAACTTTATCAGTTCCAATTATTCCATAGATTTTGAATGCGATTTTTTAAGTTCAACTGGCAATCCTATAGTTTTAAGGTAAAATATTGAATAAACTAACAGTGGTGTTACATTTTGATTAATAGACATACATACATGTATGTATATACTTTTAAATTTGAAGAATTATAACGTGTATATATATATAAAAAATTATATGCAAATATTTTATATACATGCTAAATAGTTGTAGCTTAAGTTGTGATTTTAAATCTAATTTTTCTATATAATTAAATATCTTAAATATTAATATGGTTTTAAATCATATGTAATGAAATGTAATGAAATATTTTGTTTATTTCAAATTCTTGTGGGTAGCTTTATTATCAAGAAGAAGTCAAGTTTAATAGCATAAAACTACTGTGACTGCCATCAATGTTATCAGCTATCAAGTAAATTCAAGTGAATGGATATGAGGAAAATACAAATATTGTTTTAATTTTGCTCATTTCTTTGAAATAATTTTCAACAATTACCAAAGTATTATTTTATATAAGCGACTAGTATATAAAGAGAAGCCTATTTGGTTTAATAAAAATATTTTTTTATAAACGAATTAAACTATAAAAAATAATTTTATGTGATAGCTTTGTTGAATTTAAACTAAATTTTTTTATTTAATCAATTATTTCGCCACAATTTGATCATTTGAAATATGTAATAATGTTGGATCAAACTAATGGTTTATAAAGAAGCACTTTTCTCTTCAACAAGTTAAAACGTTTCTTTAAAAACAATCTATACTGAAATTAACATTAAATTAAGTATTTAAATTATTTTCATTCATATAACAAAATATTTAAAAAATTGCATACATGTAGGATGGGGCAATGAAAGAAATGGTAATATAATGCCCGAATTCAAGTGTTAATTGCGTTAGTTTCAGAAATATAGGGAGCCGAAAATTAGAATTTTAAAAATTTCGGTGATACCTCAAGAGGAGGTGAAGATGGAAAAACATTTTCTTCTAACGAAAATAAACTATTTAATAATATCTATAAGGTTTGCTAAAATTTCAGACTACTACAACTAATTTAGAACGGGTTTTAGATAACAGTAATTTTATCTTTTATATATTTAATTATGCTGTGCCGATGTAGAGGAAGAGAGTTGTAACTTTTCTGTGTTTGTAAAATTTGAAAAATGTTTAAAATTTCCTTAAAATAAATAGTCGAAAAATTGCATTTTTAGGTTTTTGAGAGTAATAATTAGTTCTTTTTTCAAATTTTTTTTTTTAAAGTGTTAAAAATAAACGTAAATATGTTTTGCTGAATCGTATATATAAATATGTTACATAGACAATTACAATACACATAAATGAACACATCCATTATTCATAAAGATAAAAAAGATAAAATTTTTTATTTGAAATCGCGTATATAATTAAAAAACGATGTTACCCTATATAGTTTATATAATAAATTAAATATTAATAAAGAGAACCTTGAAAATTATTTGTGTATTTATAAAAATATTTCCTCTCAAATCGGCATTATATGTACTACATACACAATATATATATATATAATCTTTGATATTCATATAACTTTTCTACATTTATAATCATGACTATTAAAATTTAATTTTAAGGAATAATAATAAGACTTGTTGAATATAGGTGGTCTCATAAATTATAATGTTATACGTAGTAAAAATTATTATACATATATAACCTTAATTTATAAGAAATGACCAATAAGATGGGCCAATATAAACAAAACATTATTACACAATATTTTACTAATATAATATAGAGTTTTACTAATAAATATTTATAAGTATTGTATAATAAGTAACTACTAGTTTAGTGTGATTTACTGATACTAAGTTTTTGCACAAAATTTTCACATATATTAAAAATACTATATTTTCCATTAAATAAAATGTTTGCATACAGTTTTTTCTTGTGTAATTGTCAATATATATATATATATATATATATATACCGTATATATACCGTATAATGGCTATTATCCTATGTAAGGCGTGCTACCTCATTATTATTTGTAAATAGTATAACATTATTTATTTAAGAAAAAAATTAAATATATATTTACATAAATTTATTATTTAAATATTTTATAGTTCAATTTAATTGCTACAATAAAGAAATATGTGTTTATTATACATACATATATATATAGATACATACATGCATATATATACTCGTACATATTGGATAATTGTATATATATCTACATATGTTATATGTAATAACGTTTTAACCTATATTTTAAATATTTTTTTTTCCATCAGCTGGTTTTTGGTTTTTCACAACCAATTGATTTTGGTTATAAAAATCCTTACCAACAATTAAATTCGTTGTGGAATTTTCAAATGCAATATCGTTTACCAACACAATCATTTGACATTGTACAATTATATAAATTAATATTTTGGTATTCTAATGAAGAGAAGAAGAAAAGATCTTTAACATATGATATAAGCCGAAAATATATTTATAAAATTATTGAAGTTATATTGGACAAGTAAGTAATTAATTACATACTTAATAGTCATATTAAATTTATACATTTTCCTTGCTGTGTCTCTAAATTTAAATAGATTATAATTAGTCGTTTCGTTATATACTGATGATTTCAATATATTTTGGAAACCACAGTCATTCTAGTTCGGATTTCTAATCTAAGGTTTATTTTAAAATTGACTAATTATGTTATAGGAGCTTTTGTATAGAGATCCCCATTTGGTGTATAGATAAGATCTTTAATTGTTCAGACAGCAAAAAACTGACCTAATAAAAAAATTGGCTAATTATATACTGTAAAAGTTTTAGAAATTCTTAAGGTTCCTTATTATTTACAAATATATTTTTGTGTATTATTTGTTATACGAATAGTATAATTTATATAATAAAATAAATAGTGATCCTAAACATATGCAATTTTTTTATTACAAAATAATGGTTATCTGTAAAAAATACTTATATAATATGAAACAAATTTATTTGTATATTTTTTGAAAGTATTATTTTGTGGTTAGAAACGCCAAGAAAATGAATAAATTTCTATTTTTCACAATAACAAATTAAAAATTGTCCTGTAAATTAAATTGAATATTGTTCTGTTTGTCTCAAACTAAATAACAATTTGTATAAATATTTGTTAATTGAAATATTTACAAAAAATGAGAAAATTTCCAAGTTGTTTAGCTAGAAAAAATTTAAATTTAGTAAAAATTTTTTCAAATTTTTTTTGTTGTCATGAACAAAGCGTATGCTTTCTATATGATTTGATTTTGATTTAATTTAATTTTTCCTAGCTATACGTAAATATTTTTTCTTAATTACATTAAGGTTTATACGATTTCAAAAATAAATTTTAACTTTGAATAGCTTGAATAATAATTGATTTATATTTTTTTTTTCCAATTATTAATTGTGAACTATATTATTTTTATATTTTTAGAATGGGGTATGATGGTAAAAATTGTTTATTAAAATTGATATGTGAAATTGCTAGAGAACCTATTCATGGAAATTCAATGATTTATCAAATTTTAAATACAATACTGAGGTAATTAAAAAATAAATTTTTTGTTTATAATATGTATGTACATATGTATGAAAATATTTTAAAATTTGATTAAATTTGATTTTTGAAATTTAACCTGGAAACAAATTCAAGTTAAACGTAATTGCATGTATAAATGCAAAAACAATTTGATTAGATTAGGGAAAAAAAATATTTTAACGCAAAAACTGAAACCTATTTTGAATTGTTACTCGTACATTGTTATATATGAGTTTTCATTTATTATTGATAACTCCAAGGATACTAACCCTATGTTATGTATATGTGATTTTTATATCAAATCAATGGGAAAATTATTAGCTTTTATATGAGATTTTTTGTTTAGCAAGAAACTTTCAGAGAAATTAAATTATTCGTATTCTTTTCAGATTGTCGGTCCAATTGATTTGAATATTCTTGTAATATGCTTGTATTTGTAAATTGATAAAAAAATTTCTTTCTTTGTTCCTATATTTTTCTAAGTAATACATTTAAAAGGGTTCAACTTGTTCAAGAATTAAAAATCAACTTGAATTTTAACATTTTTGTGATTGTTAAAATTATTAAAATTATTTTATAAAAAAAAATAATTTTGTATTTTAATTTTAGTCCATTAAATGGTTCAATTGATGATGATTACCTGGAAGCGAAAAGAGCTGGACTACAATGGGCCAATTGTTCAAGTTGCTTTTATAAATGCATTAATTTTAATTTATTAGAAAAATTTTCCATTTATTTATAAAGCTTGCGATTGTATAATAAAAATATAATGTTACTAATTTGAAATTATATAACAAATGTAATTAGGTTATAATATTAAATAAAACACAAAGATAAAAACGGTTTTGAAAATGGAATTTCTTGTAATACTATCTTGATATATTAAAATTGCTAAATACTTTACAGTATAGTTTCCTTTTAAATCGTTAAAAGTACACAGTCAGTATACATTAATTTTCCATTTTTAAAAATAAATAAAAAAATTATTCGGACCAAGCTGTTAAGATAAAACGAATTACATCTTATTGAAAGTAAATATAACATTACAATAAAATACAATAACCAAAAATTGAAATTGGAGACCAGTTCCAAACACCTAAGTATCATAATTATTTTTTTAATACACGACTATTTGAATTAGAATTTACATATAAATAATTTACTTACAGACAATTAGTAGAACTGCTAGTGTTTTAAGAAAAATTATCAGAGTACCAGATAGCCTCAAGCATACTATTTACTACATAGTTTTCTACATAGCAAAATTAGTTATAGTATAAGAATTTGGAGTAATACTTACGGCAATATTCTTAAAACACAAATTCAAATTATGCACATCTATGAGATTCAAACGAATGAAATAAAGAGTAACGTCGAATTAATTACAAATTCTGCTGTACAACATTACAATATCAGAGAACTGCTAATCAGCTTATTAAAATTAGAACATACAAATCTCGAAGCTTAAGTGGTCTTGATGCTGTTTTGCTATAACAACCAAGTAGTTATAAAAATTTGCCTACTATTATTGTACTATAGCAAAAATTACAAACTAACTTTTAAAATTCATACATCCATATAGAAATCAACTTGAACTGTGATTAAAATGTGTTTCTTACACTAGATTGTTTATACTTAATATTGGGTCCAATATGAAGAAACTGAAAACGTATTATATTTAGACGCACATTCTTTTAATGCATTTATTTTTTAATGATTACTAAAACAAGTTTAACGAGTACTACTTTTATTATTATTTTCACACATATCTCGTATGAATGTTCAACCTATTAAAAAATTAAAACATATTGTTTTAAAATATGTTTAAATATTATTATATAATTATGTACATATAAAAAATTTCTAATTAATTCTTAAAATTGTCATTACATCTTAATTGTTATTTATTTTATATTCTCAAATATATTTTATATATACTTATTTTTAAATAACAATAAACATCGGACATGTTTATTAATTTATTTCTATTGTTATATTTATTTTTTTTTTATATGTATATATTGAGTAGTATAACAAGGATCCATGTATACTTAATTTTTATGTACCATTAAAATGTTTTAAATTAAAGGAAACTATAATCATAAAAAATAAGAATCACAGCAAAAGAAAAAAACAAAAAGCAAAAACAAAATAGGAGGAAAAGGAGCAAATAAAACTACACAGTTAAGTAAACATAATGTAAATGTTTATATGTATATATATATATATATATGCAGGGTACCAGAGATTTGATGCTGCTGCAAACCTAGGTTGAATAATTTTATTTTATTTTTAGTTATTTAAGAAATGCTTTTTTTTAATACTTTATTTTGGTAAATTTTTTCAATTTTGACTCAAATTTTCACTTGACAGACACATTATTCCTGAGATTTCTGGCACATAATATTGAGGGCCAGAATACCAAAAGTCACTTCTCCTAATGTAAAGTCAATAGGTTATTGGAAAAAATTCTTTAAAATTTTAAATTTGCACTTTAATAAATTTTGATTTGAAAATTGGGTAAATGAAAAATTGGACGATTTTCAGAAAGATTAACTCCGTTATCTCATAATTCAGGAGAGAGAGAGCCTAAAAAGCAATATTTCATTTCATAGTTTTTGTTATTCTGGACCCATTCTATCATTCTGCTTCTGAAGAACTACTGAATTTCGGACACCCTGTATATATTTATATATATATATGTACATTGTTTTTTTATTGTTTAACACATAAAAGTAAATAAATAATTTATTTTAAATATTCGTGCAGAATAAAAAATTAAAACGAAAAAAAAAAATCTAACTACAATTTGTTTTTTATTTTTTTTTTTTTGTTCATATTAAATAAAACCTTAGGGAAGTTAAGAAAAAATAATCTTATATAAGATTTTTATATTTATATACGTTTTATATTTACTAGAAGTGAAAAAATTATTATCCCAAATCTGGATGCATCAATATATCTAAAAAACTAATCGGACATGCCTTTATAAATTTTAACTCACAATCATATACATCAGCTTTCATTGCTTTACTGTAATCATCCTCCAATTCATCTTTAGTAGGTATTCTAAATAAAAAAAAAACAAAAAATAAAAATATACTCATAAAACTGAAGTATTCAGAATTTTCTTTAGAAAAAAAAATTATTTAATAAAATATGAGAGGAAAAACGTTTAGAACTAAAAGAATTTAATTTACAAAAATTTCAATTTAGAAAATTATATAATTTTTTCTTCTTCAAGCTTATTGAATTTAATTACTCGTGTTAAATTTAATTTCTGTATAAAAATTATAAAAATCTTAAGTATAACAAAATGCATTCATACATTTTGTATGAATTAATTTTAAAATGAAATTCATTTTAATGTCATATACAATTAAAATTTTTGATTGAAAAAGTTTTTATGTTAACAATTTTCTTGTTAAATATTCAATAATATTGAAATTTATATATGTAGTATGCTTTTGTGCATAAATTTTGTTAGTTAAAAATGAAGAATGTTGTGGGTTTAATTTTGAAAAATGTTTGCTTAAAGTTTATGAAACTGTAAGTTTGATTCTTTAACATGACCTAGTATTAAAAAAGTTGTAAACCACTTAAATAATGTTATGAAATTTGAGACTTGTATACTTTGTAATGAATTTTACTTTTAACACCTTCTCTTCTGTTGTTTTGTAATTTTTAAAATGGTTCTGCAGTCTTTTATTTTTCTAATGTTAGATTTTATAAATTTAAATTAAAATTTACAATTAAATTGGATTTTGAAAAATTGAATAAATCTCAAAAGATTGCATTTTGTTGGAAATTTTTTAATATAGATAACAGATTAAATAGCTTAGTGACTGTATCAATTGTTATACTTTCTAAACTTGTTTATAAAAAATATTGTTTCTAGATTATTTAGATGTATCTAGATCAGGGATGGGGAACCTTTTCTCTATATAAGGCCAAATTTTAGTCAATGCAAAGTCAATCAGGCCGCAAAGTTTAAAAAAAGTCCAAAGGTTATAAATTTTTGCTTTGTGTAGGTTGATGAAAACAAAATTATGTCAGAATATAAAAAATAACATAAAACAATTTAAAAAATGAGAATAATTTTTTTTTTTGTTTTTTATAATAATTTTAAGTTTGAGCTTCTTTTAAATTTTTGATTTTGATAGGATTCAAATATCAATATGTGTTTGTTTTCAAACAATAAATAAATTTTGAACTCAAACAAATGTGTGAAAGCATTTTTTTTAAAATTATTGAAAAAGTTTACTAGCATGGCATACAATTATTCTGAAAGAAGCCCGGACATAGGATTCAAATATTAATATGGGTTTGTTTTCAAACAAATATGTATGTAAATTTTGAATTCAAACGTTGTTAGAAATTTCATGGCTTTGAATTTTCCAATTTTTAGTTTTCAAATTTGAAAGTTAATGTGCACGGTTTATTTTTCTAAATGTTTGATTTGTTTTCGAAAATTTGGCAGCAAAATTTTAATTTTTAAGAAATATAAGAAATAAATTTTTTTAAGGACAAAGGCCACTAAAAAACAGTTAAAAGGCCGCATGCGGCCTTAAGGCCGCAGGTTCCCCATGCCTGATCTAGATCAACTGTCGGCAAATTTTTGTCGGTCATGGGCAATATATATAATATATATGTACTATGAGCTTCGAGTTTCTTACATTACCTACTTAAAAGAAGAAATGACATTTAAAGTTGACTTTATTGATTATTTTGTTTCGACAAATAACATGCAAAATAATGGGTAGCATTTTAAAATTTAATAGGCCAGATGTTGCCCATGGGCCGCACTTTGCCAACGGGCTGATCTAAATTATCTAAATATAATTATGTCTTTTATAAAATTTACTAGTTTTATTGTTTATAAGACACACACAAAAATTTGTTCCAATTCCGAATTGTTAATGGAATTTTAAAATAATTTATATTTGATAATTTATTTTATCCTACATATTTGCATTAAATAAATCTTTGCAATAATTTCAATAATTTTGGTTCAGATCTTCTAAACAACTTTGAAATTTGAGAAAAAAATTTTTGTTTTCTTCAAATATAAAGTTTTTTGATTTAGAACTTTTGTTTTATGAAAATGGTAGACCACTACAAAAGTACAAACAAGGAAAATTACATTAAAAAAAAATAACAATAATAATAAAAGAAACAAATGTAAAACAAAAACGTGAAATCATAAAATTTTACAAGTTTTGACAAAATATTTTTCTTTACAATAAAATACACAAAGAAAACAAAACAAAAGAAAAATAAAAACAAGTAACACTCCAAACTAACGGCCTCAAACATGACTACCATTGCTTCTTGCTATTATTTTTAAGATATCTATATACTAAAATTAAAAAAAAAAACACAACAATAATAAAAAACAATAAAAAAAACAACACGGTGTCTCATACTAAACATTCTCTATAGTAAAACCATAAAAAAACCAAGGGGGAAAAAAATTAAACAAAAATATAAGAAAATAATAAAAAGAGAAGCGAGAGAGAGAAAAAAAACAAACAAAACAAAAATAAAATAAAAACTTACGAGAATAAAATCCTTAATATATCCTGTATCAATGAATATCCTGGTGGCAATAGATATCTTTTAGCTTCACAAATTGACCTTAAGATGCATGACTTCATGGAGATTGAAAGCCTTAAAAAGCAAAAAAACAAAAAAAAATAAATATCATAATAAAAACAATGAGAATACAATAACAAAGTAAGAAATAAATATTATGACATTTTTTG